CCCCCCCGATATTACTCTCATCTCGATCGCTTTGCTTCGCTTGCCCCTAAATTGAGCAGCGAAGCAGATTCTCAGCCTTTAGCTTTGATGACTGCCGATAGAGATTCACAGGAGTCTCCGATCGTCGGTCCAAATATTCTCAGGCGGAGGAAGGGCGCGCGCTAACTTGAAATGTTGTCCCTTGGCAGCCGCTCGAATGAGTGTCGGCTTCATAGGAGCGGGCCAGGTGGCTCACGCCCTGGTGCGAGGCTTCACGGCGGCAGGTACGGTATGGTTGGCTTCCAACGCTCATTCAGTCGCGTTGCTCACGGCGTACGCTGAGCTGATCCGAGGACGTGTTCAGGTGTAATAGCCGCCCGCAGGATCACAGCCAGCTCCCCGGAAAGCGATCTCCCCACAGTGCAGGCACTTCGGGTGGGTACACGTTTTGAAAAGCTCTCCCTTTCTTCGTGCCGATCGGAAGTCGGTGACACCGTATGTGCAGAAATTAGGGGTGCACGTCACCACCAGCAACAAAGAGACGGTGAGCAAGAGCGACGTCCTCTTCCTGGCGGTGAAGCCTCACATCATTCCCTTCGTGCTGGACGAGATTGGACCGAGCATCGAAGATCGCCACCTGATCGTATCCTGCGCTGCCGGCGTCACCATCGGTTCTATCGAAAAGGCGAGTCGGTGTGCTGCTTTCAACAAGTCATTCGTCCGTTTCCTCCGGCCGCGGGCGCGACCGCCCGCTTTCCGAGCGGTATGCGGACACGTAGCAACCGACATTTGTTCCTTCCCTTTTATATGTTTACACGTGTCAATCTTATTTTCTGGGGATATAAAACTTTGATTTTAAGTCACAGACTCGGGCAGGTGAATCCAAAACAACAACAACAACAAAAAGAGTGTGCAGGAATAGCAGCGGCACCCGGTGCTCGACGCAGTCCCCGTTGCGGTCGGGTTTCCAAAACGCAGCAGTTAAACTGGAAGCCGAACGGAAATAATTTTCCTCCCGTGGCTTCACGCGGCGCATGTGGCGCGCGGGCCCTTTTTGCGCCGCTGCCTCCTACCGGAGCCTCTCTCGGCTGACGCGTCGCACACGCCAATGGCAGGATCGTAACCAGCGCGTGCCTTTGCAGAAGCTGCTGCAGCATCGCGCCGCTCCGAAGGTCATGCGTTGCATGACCAACACGCCGGTGGTCGTGCGCGAAGGGGCGACGGTGTACGCCACGGGCACGCACGCGGAGGTGGAGGACGGGAAGCTGCTGGAGCAGCTGATGGCCAGCGTGGGTTACTGCACCGAGGTGGAGGAGGACCTCATTGATGCCGTGACGGGCCTGAGTGGAAGCGGCCCCGCTTACGTGAGTCACTCCCACCGCGTGTGAACGGGAAGACCTCTGGCGGATGTGAAGGGTTTTCGGTTGGTTTGCGGGAACGGACGGGACCCCGCTTTTAACCGAAGACCGCCGGCGCTCTCGCAGGCTTTCACCGCCGTGGAGGCGCTTGCCGACGGCGGCGTGAAGATGGGCCTGCCCAGGAGACTCGCCGTCCGCCTCGGAGCTCACGCCCTGCTGGTACGAACGCCGCGCCTATTCCGTGTCAATGAAAAGTTCCAAGCACCTTCAACCGCGCGCGCGTCATTTGCATCAATACAAATCCCCAGTGAACGCAGCCAGCAAGGACAAAACGGCGACACGACCTTAACCGCTCGGTGTCGCGCTTGACTCGGTAGCCGCTGCCGACTAGGAAAGCGCAACGCGACTGACCACTGTACAAGCGCGCAGGAAAAGGTTGTTTGTGTGAAGGGACAAAATGCCGTTCCATTGTGTGGTCGGTATGTTGTCGTTGAAATAGGTTTGTCAAGGCAACGACAGAAGAAGTAAAACACGACCTTTTGGGATATTTGGAACATTTGTCATGTTCTCTGATGCAACGAAATAGCAAGCCGTTGTCATTCGGCACTTGGGTTTTCAGTTGTTTGGACGTGGAAAAGCAATTTCGTTTCAGCAAGCCGCATCGCTTGCCTTGTGAAAAATGTCCGTCGTGACGCCGCGTCTCACCCTGTCACCTTCTTCCAATTGAACAAATAACGGCCCCCCTCTCCGAATTGTCCCCTCCTTTTCTGCACACTTTCCTGAAATCCGGCGGCTCAGAGTCAATCACACAATTAGCGCTGAGCCGATGCGATCTTAATTTCACCCCGGCAGGGCGCCGCTCGGATGTTACTCGACTCGGAGCAGCACCCCGGGCAGCTCAAGGACAACGTTTGCTCGCCGGGGGGCGCCACCATCCACGCCCTGCACGTCATGGAGAGCGGCGGATTCCGCAGCCTCCTCATCAATGCGGTGGAGGCCTCCTGCGTTCGGACCAGGTAACCGCAACAAAGGGGCTCCGCGTCGCAGCGGCTGCCGGGTGGGAAACTCTCGCCACCGAAAGCGATGTATGTCATCCCGTCTGTTTTTTAGTTTCGCTTTAACACAACAGCCCGGCGGCTTCAGTGGAATTGGGTTTGGGAAGGTATTTTCCAAAGTCACTGACGTGTAGCGGTCGGCTCGCCTGACTTGTGTGCGGGCAGCGTGGGATCGGTTCCCACTCGCTGACTGGCGACCGGGGCGGAGTCGACCTTGAGCCCAAAGTCAGCTCTGATCGGCTCCGACGCGACCCCGTTCAGGATAAGCCCCGTCGGATGGATGGATGGTGTCCGTTTGTTGCTGATGTTCGGCAAGAAGGAACATTGCACGTTGACGGCTACGATAGAGTCACTCACTCTTAAGATTCCTCCTCATATTGAGTGTTTATGCTCCGAATGGGCTCATTTTGGTCTCGCTCTACTTCCTGTTCATCTTCTCATTCCCTTGGGCTTTCTGCTCGTTGACGAAGAACGCTGTGTCAAGATCTAGACGGCTACCTTAGTGTCTTCTGGCGTTTCGCTTGCGATGGCGAGGTAGCCCGATGAATGTCACGTTTCACACGCATCAGCGGGTTTTCTTGATTTCATACTACTGCGACAGTCATTGGCGCGAACGTTTTACTTAAAGCCTTCCCTGCTTTTTTTTTTTCTTCCCCCAAAAGGGAACTGCAGTCGTTGGCGGACCAGGAGAGGATTTCCCCGGCTGCCATCAAGAAGACGACGCTAGACAAAGTGATGCAGCAGCCGGGAGTGACGGTGGAGGCTGTGGGCGTGCCATCGCGCGGGATCAGTATCTTTAATCGCAGCAACAATCCAAGAACAAACAAGAATTGACGGAGAAATAAAACAGACGCTATTTTGCACGACCTTTTCTTCCCGTGACATTTTAAATTGCCGCTTTACGTCGCATTGAAAACCCGACCTAACCGACAGACCGTCTTCTCGTTGCGTGGTTAAGCAAGCCGTCGTCGGGGAGTCCAGGGCAACGGGAGGGCTGATAAACTGGCAAAACACAAATCCGAGCTCCTCGTCGAGGGCCCGTAACCTACAATTGCCGTCCCGTATGCTTTGCTTTGCGGGACCGAAGCATTAAATGCCGGCGGTCGGCGTGGGAAAAACCACCGAGAAACGGAAAACCTGGGCTGGCCATCGATTCGAGTATGCGACCGCATCCTGAGTTTGAGTGGAAAACAGCTGCTCGTACAAGTCCTTTCAGTCTGGGCGACGTCCGTCCGTAGCGTGGCCAAAACGTGCCAGAGAAGACGCCTCGCCGCCAGGTGGGAAGGTGGACCGCCGACCGGGATGTTCCGAAACGCTACTTGGGGAACCGATTTTCGGTTGTTGAGAAAATTCAATCTTTGACGCACGCCGGAAGGCTCGCCGAGCACGACCGGAGATAATTATCGTGGTGTTGTCGCAATGGCCGACGAACGGCCTGAGCGACGTGCCGACCGGTTCGGCCCACGGACGAGATAGTTGAATGGCCGCGGATCAGTGCCCGCAGAATCACAACAACGGGACACATCGACAGACAACCGTTCACGGTCACGTTCGTGTCGCCGGACAATGAACAGTCCTCAGTGTGCCGAACATGTTTGTGGAACGTCGGAGGAAGGGCTGGCGATGAGTTCACGGGCTGTCCCCCGCCTGGGATAGGCTCCAGCGCGCCCGTGACCCTCTTGAGGAGAAACTATTCGGATCATGGATGGATGATTCATTGCAAATCATACAATTGGAAGCGATTACTTTTTTTCCACACATAACAAAAAAAATGTACAAATGACTTGGCCCATCCGTCATTATTAAATGAATCAAATGTGAAACGTGAGCAACAAAGTTTGTCGACATCATTGCCGCTATTGCACGATTGTTTCTCTTAAGAGCGACTCATGAATGAAGTCACGTGACAAAACACGATGACGTCCAAACAAGAGAAAGGAAACGAGGAGCGCCAACCCGCCCCCCATCCAAATCACAAACGGCAGACCTCTGAAATGGGTGTTCTCCCTGTTTCGAGAAGAAACGAGGTCAAGTGGGTCCGCCGTTTGTGCCGAGCCTTTGTGTTTTTCTTGTATTATTATTATTATTTTTTTTACATGAACCGTCCGGCTGGGGTTTGCCACCTATCGTCAGAGTTGCGATATTTTAGACAGCGGTGTTGGACTTTCAAAGTAAGATAGTTGGCATGTCTTGACACAAACCCCGGGCCCTCGTTTCCGCTCGTGTGCCTTGTTTAATTTTGAAAGCGGAAGTGCTTTGTTTGCGCCTCGTAAAAGTGAGGCAACGAGAGCTCATCTTTTGTGAAAAATGTCCGTTTTTTTTTTTGCCGGGTCTTAGGCACGTCGGCGCCGGGAGAGACGCGACGCGAGGAAGCGTCGGTTAGCTCCCCGATGTTTACCGGGGGCTGGGGAGGGGGGTTCCTTCCCTTGCGTACCGCTTGTTTATTCCGTAGGCGGGGGAGTTTGACACTTTGACGCGCGGAGGGGGGTCGCGGAATGTCCGAGGTGTTGGGCTAGCTTCAACTCATGAGAACCTGTCGCCGCTTCATCACCGCGCCGTCAAAGGGGGATTACGGTGTCCCGAAGCGGATCGTCCGCAAAGCCAAGACAGGTTGGTCCTCTTTATTCTGCTCCACCGACGCCGTTTTGCAGCTCGACCGAAATCACCACTTCATATCTTGTGGATTTATCAGTCATAATAAAAGGCGAAATACTCATAACCCCCCCCCCCAAAAAAAAAAAAAAAAGAACATCGAATCATCTCTTTGTGACGAATCTGCTGCCTGCCGCATAACCCCCGAATTGAATTGCAAGACGGCGAAACAAAAAGCAGACATCTTTTGTTTTGTCTGGAGCGTCGTTCTTGTCATTTCGATCTGCTGAATCATGTGAAAGCTCCGTTGGGAGACACGAGCGAGGGGCTCTGTCGCTCGATAAGAGCATCAAGTGATGATGAGCATCACTTGGGAGTTTGTCTTTGTCTTTCAAGCCTTCGCGCGGCAAGTGCCAAATCGGTGTCAGGCTGTCACATCTCTGTCCAAAATGCACGTTCACCGATATTCGCCGTGCGTGCGTGCGTGCGTGGTCCGAATGTGTGCACTTTTGCCACTGGATTACGTTGCCGGGGTCCCTTTCGATGCACGCATCCTCGCGGCTTGGCTTGAACCGACATTTCTGCACGGCTTTTTGTTTCTCCCTTGCTTCCTTGTTTCCTTCACTTATGAATTCCTTTGCGCAAACCCACTTTTCAACTTCTCTTTGGTCCTCCCTTCTGCAAGAAAGGCTTCTTTCTCAACTCTTCCCCGCCTTTCTTTGCCTCAGACCTGGCATCTTGTCTCTTTCTTTCTGATGTGTTCCTTTCTTTCATCATCCTTCCTTCTTTCCTGATGTCAAATCACATTTAAAAAAAAAATTGTATGAGCCCAAGACAGAATGCCCATCCATCCACCGCAAAGAACCAATGTTTGTTCTCATAATCGTCGCGGTTCTGCTTTTTGTCTTTCTTGACGAAATGCAAATGTGCTGTTTTTGCACGCCAGACGTATGAGAGCTTTGTTTGCTTCATCTCCCCACAACGTTCCTCCGTATTTGGACTTATTTTGTGGCATTGCAATCCAGGCGAGAGCTTTGGGCCCAATTTAGCCGTCCATTTCTCTTATTTTGATGGGGCGGATGCTCTTGTTTCCCCCTCGTGAATGGCGGATGACATTTTCAGTCCATTAGCCCGCATGGAGGCCAGGTCACGAATGATCGGCGAGCGTTTCTTTCTTGAAGTCACCTTGGAAACCGTTGAGCATTTATAGGCAGATTGAAGTTTCCCTCCCCGTTCTTACTCGCCTTGCTGATTTATTTCATCATCGCGCGCGTGTGCAGCACATTTAAATGCGTCGGTTTGAGAAGGCAGGTGCGGCCCGGCTTTGCAATAAAGCTCCCCGTCGCCAGCTTCCACGTCACGAGAATAGACGAGGGCCCGAGGAGGAGTCTGGCGAGGCCGAGCGGAGGTGTTTTGCTGGCGGAGATCAGCTCCCAAATGTATTGGAAGTCAAGAAAGTAAGATTCTCCGATATATACAGATGTGGAACGGTGGGAAGTGCTGTTGTTTTTTTTTTGTTTCAATTGACATTGTGACACCAAGTCAACCATGACTTGGGCAGTTCTACTCTGAGGATAATAGAAGGGAATAGGAGTGTCCCCCCCCCCCCATCCCCTGTCTGCATCGGGGGTGGTGACGAAACCTCTCGCAAGGGTGAATCGCTCAGTGTTGCGCTATGCCTGCCGCTGATTCTTTCAACCTCTTTGCGCTTCCGATTTGAGGAATCCGCAATGTCCTGAACGGGGCGTTTGTTAGCCCGCATTCATTGGATTGCTGTTTTGAACCAAGGTGTCCTTGAGTTCTTCGAAAGGCGCCCACAAATAAAATGTCGTATTATTGTTATTTTGAGTCTTCTGTCCTGTTGTGTCGAAAGCGCTTGCCACCGTCAGCGTGGCAATTCAAACGCCAAATCAGTGACTTGTCCAACCATCTCCAGGATGGCGCGTCGCTCGCTGTGTGACGGCAGCATCTTTTCCTTCAACGAGACGGACGTAAACAATGAAGCGGGCCCGGCAAGTTTCCGCCTTTTCGGGTCGAATTCGGCGACGTTGGGACAGGGACGACCGCACCGGTTGTGTTACACCGGACACTGTCATGATGGCGGCAATTTCCCACCTCGGTGGGGTTCTGCGCCCCTTTTCCGCAGGGGGCAAAATCAACCGAGCGTTTGTCTACCTTTCACGTTACTACGAGAGGCAATCCGGCGCACGTGCCCGGAGGACGCCAAGACGAGACAACGCACGTGCGTTGATCTTCACGTTGGGCACAATCGGGCCATTTTGACGCGTGTTTCTTTCCGCAGAGCAGCCGGCGGCGCGGGCGGACGCGGCCTCGGGGCATGACGACTCCAAACAAGGGAAACAAGGCCTTAAAGGTACCGAGCGGCACGAGCGTGCTCTTCTGCCGGAGCCTGTCTAGACTCCCGAGGAGATCTCGCTTTTCCCGAGCGTTGTCCGTCCGTCTTTTGGGGTGCGAGCGCTCGGTGAATTTCGAGGGGGCGGCGACTTTGCGGAGGTGCTGAAATGTCGGCCTCGTTCGGCGCGTAGGGAAAACCCGACCGCCCGATGACTCGGGACTGCGTCGATTCGCACGCGAAATGGAACGTAGCCAAAAGCAAAGAAGCGTTCTCATTCTGCGTTCTTCGGCGTCGCGGAAGTCCAAGGACTTCCCGCTTTGCGTGCGGAGGCATCGTGAGCGCTGACAACAAATTCCCCGTCGGACCAGGTGAAGCGGGAGCCGGGCGAAAACGGCACCGGCCTGACGGACGACGAGCTGGTGAGCGTGTCGGTGCGCGAGCTGAACCAGCACCTGCGCGGCCTGACCAAGGAGGAGATCCTGCAGCTGAAGCAGCGGCGGCGCACGCTCAAGAACCGCGGCTACGCCGCCAGCTGCCGGGTGAAGCGCGTCACGCAGAAGGAGGAGCTGGAGAGGCAGAAGGCTCAGCTGCAGCGGGAGGTGGACAAGCTGGCCGCGGAGAACGCCGGCATGAAGGCGGAGCTGGACGCGCTGCGCTCCAAGTACGAGGCGCTGCAGAGCTTCGCCAGGACGGCGGCGCGCAACCCCGCCGCCTGCGCCCGCGGGCCCCTCGTCCCCGCCAAAGTGGCCGCCACCAGCGTCATCACCATCGTCAAATCCAAAGCGGGGGCCGGGTCGTAGTAGCGCAAAAACGGTCGGCGCCTCCGACGAGGCGTTCCACTGGCAATCTTGTTTTCGGGTGCGGCCGTTGTTGATGTTTGTCCGAAGCGGATCGCTTTGTTTCCCTTTCAGCACCTTTTAGCCAGTACCGTCCCACCAGACGTGAGCTCTGCAATTGTATTAGGCCCTGACTGGCTCCATCCAGTCTGTTAAAAGACAGAACCAACACCCTAACAGACACCATTTTTGACACGTGTCACCGAGCCTGAAGACAAGACTGACTCGACCAAAGTTATTCGAGATAGCGGCTCTTTCGACTCACTTCACAAGAAGTCGTACGACAAATGGTGAACAATTCACACCCCGGCCCCCTTAAACAAAAACCTCATTGATTGAATTTGAGGTCGCTGGTGAGAAGGCGCGTGCGTCAAAGAGGAGAGGGGCTGGCGCAGTGATTTCACAGCGCCAACAGCAATCGGCCGAGCACTCCAGGTTACTTCCTGCTCGGCGGCGACGCAAGCACTTCCAAACATGGGCGCGTTCCTTGGGATGCCGTCGCCCTTGCATGCAGACACCAAGAAAAAACAAGTCCGGCGTGAAAAGGCCCGTTCCGTTGGGCCACAACAAAATCATCTTCGTGTATGATGGTGGCTTTAGGAGGGGCCCCCACCTCAACTCCATTCTTTTAGAATACCTTCTGTTGTTTATAGAAATATAAGGGGGGGGGGGGGGGTAATCTCTGACTGTTCCCCCCGTTTTCTGTTGCAATTGTACCAAAAGTGGCTTACGATTGAAGTCCGCTAGCTTTTCTCTAGTGAGTCTAGACGCGTCCTGTGAGCTCGCGCCTGATGTGACGTGTTCTTCAAGTGGCAAGTCTTTGGCAGCGTTGTCGATCTCAATGGCGTGCTATTTTTGCAGCCGGTCTGTAGAGCTAAACTTAGGTGGCGTAAACAAGGTCCGCTTGTCGTCGTGGCATCTGTGCTCCCCTGCGCTCGCTTCGTCGTCCTCCCGCTCTTCCTCTGAGATTTTTACTTCCCAAGCCGAGGAAGAAAAAAAATCGGTAACGGTGGGTTTTTTTTTTTTTTCTTCTTCGCCTGGGGACAATCTAGTCATCGCTTCACCTGCCTTGCATGTTTTGGGAGTGTGGGAGGAAAGCGGAGTAGCCGGGAAAAAAGCCACACAGGCAGGCACGGGGAGGACCCGCAAACTGCACACAGGAATCGAACCGTGCGCCTGTGCTCCCTGAGGCCGACGCGCTAGCCGCTCGCTCACCGTGTCGCCTGTGTTAGTTCTTTCCACACTTGTATCAAGTTCAGTAACTTTGTACACGTGGGGGCTGGGGGGGTCGGGGG